AAAAAAAAACAAAAAGGTTTTTGTCGAATCTGATGCCTTGTCGACTCTTATTGGTGGTTGTAATTTACCAGCTTAGTTTACAGAGATGTTTAAGCTAGTGTATTGGAGGGAAAATTGAGGGTAAATTACAACCACCCCTGAGGTATGGTCAAATTACGAAAATCCCTCTCTTGTGTGGATAATTATAACCACCCATCAACTCCTCAAATTTAGTAGAATCTTCGAGATTATATGGAATATTATCACTTTTGTACCCGTTTTATCCCATTCAAACTCTACATTATGAAGCAAGATGATCATAATATGTGATTTTTAGCTTGTATATATCAGTTTGTGATGCATCGAAAACTGTATTTTTACACAAAACGAGTACAAACTAGAGCACATTCCACGGAATCTAGATGATTATGTTGAATTTGGCACCATAAGGGTGGAGGTGTCAGAAAAAATCATAATTGAGGGATAGATGTAATTATCCAAACAAGAGAGGGGTTTTTATAATTTGACCATACCTCAGGGGGCGTTTGTAATTTCCCCTCCAAATTATAAAGATGAAAATCAATGAGGAATGGCAATTTCGTCAAAAGCCAAACAGCCCCCACCATGGAAATCAAGCGCGCGATGCAGTTAAATCCAACTGATATTTGAAATTGCGAGAAGGTTTTATTTTTGCACCCAAATTCCAACTTAATAACTGTAAAACCCTAAAAAAACCATAAATCCATCTTCTAATCTCAGATGATTAAATCTTGAATCGAAATAATCAAATACGAAAATGGCGAATTCGATTCCAGAATCTCACTCGAAGAGGAACGGAACTAGGTTTTACGGATTCCACACGTTCGCCGAGCCCGGATTCCCCGTCACATTCGCCGGCGCGTTTCGGGACAACGTGCGGCAGTTTATTCAGCAGTGCGCCGAGCCCGAGGGTTACGATCTGGTGGGTATGCCGATTTGGTGCACTTTTCTGGTGTACGAGGATAGAGGAACGGTGCTCCCTCTGTACACCATTGAAGAAAACGTCAAGCATTCCGTCAGCCCCTTCTGCGATTACTGCCGCTGCGCTGGTGAGTTTTTGTGATAAAAATTACGATCACGCTTTTCTTTTGTTTTGTTGTGAATTGAACTGGGTTTTGGGGGAATTTCGATTTGGAATTTTTTTTGAGATTTTTGTCAATTTTTTTGTGTGGTGCTTTTTTTCGATTTTGGGTGATTAGGGTTTTTGTACTTGTGGATATTTGAAATTTGAACCGGGTTTTGGGGGAATTTCGATTCGGAATTTTTGAGATTTTTGTCAATTTTTTTGTGTGGTGTTTTTTCGATTTTGGGTGATTAGGGTTTTTTCACTTGTGGATATTTGAAATTTGAACCAGGTTTTGGGGGAATTTCGATTCGGAATTTTTGAGATTTTTGTCAATTTTTTTGTGTGGTGTTTTTTCGATTTTGGGTAATTAGGGTTTTTACTTGTGGATATTCGAAATTTGAACCGGGTTTCGGGGGGGATTTCGATTTGGAATTTTTGAGATTTTTGTCAGCTATTTTTGTGGTGTTTTCGATTTTGGGTAATTAGGGTTTTCACTAATGGATATTTGAACCGGGTTTTGGGGGAATTTCGATCTGGGATTCCGATTTTTTTGTATAATTTCTTATTTGTTTTCTCGATTTTGGGTATTTGGGGGTTTTTCTTCTTATGGGAAAATTTGTTTCCTGATATGGGTGCAGGGTGGAGCCATCGTTTTGTGTCGAAAAGGAAGTATCATTTCATAATACCGGCGAACGAGGAGTGGAATATTCCTCTCGAAGAAGGTGCTTTGGATGTGCAAACGCATCTCTTGCACGGTTTGATTCACTGCAATGGATTAGGGCATCTGATCTGCATTAACGGGATTCAAGGCGGTTCTAATTTCATCCGTGGTAGAGAGATCATGGATCTGTGGGACCGTATCTGCACGGCTCTTCATGCCAGGTACGTGAAAATAAACGACACGATACAAATGCCGGTTGATATCGAAGCTGTTGTGATGAATATGTTTCGAGAAGTCTTTGAATTTATTTTACGGTCAATTTGTATCCTTATTAAAGTTTAGTAACTTCATCTGACTTGCTGTATTTCCGATAATAAAAAAAAATTAGGGGTGAGTTTCGAAGTGATGTACAGATATTTTGAGCTTCGATTTCGCAGAATCTGTGTCATTCTTCTCTAGTTATATAATGCTGAATTCAATGTCGAACGGGCTGTGAAATCATACTAAATTGTCTGGAATCTTGAAATCTAATTTCCGCATTATTATTCGGATTGATTTGTGTATTACAAGATATATGTTGAGTGTGATCAATATATTGTGATGATTAGTAATATTTAATTGATTGTCGAAATGTTTCGGTTTTGACTAATTATTGGGTCTTGCAGGCAAATTACAGTGGAAGATTTGTCGAGAAAGAATGCAACGGACCTTCGTTTGCTTTACGGAGTTGCTTACGGACACTCGTGGTTCGGTAAATGGGGATATAGATTCTGCCGCGGTAGCTTTGGAGTGAAAGAGCATAATTACGAAAGGGCAGTGGATATTCTCAGCTCCCTTGTTCTCGATCAAGTAGTTGAAGATTTCCATGTCGCAAATAACGGAAACAAATACATCAAGCAGCTGATCCACCATTACAGAGGTTTGAGCGACACAAATCTCGTTACGATTCGAGACTTACTCAGATTTATGCTCGCCTTAAAACCGAAAGCTCCGACTGCAAAGACGGCTTCTTGCACTAACGGTTCTGCCGCGTATTTTCCTTCGTGGCCAAGAAAAGAATCGGTAGCCTTTAGTAATAATACCCCTATCAAAAGATGCTCGTCGAAATTCCCGACGAGGCTCGGATTGAGAAAGTGCCCGCTTTCCGCAAAGGAGAAATCGTCGGCAAAGTGCAGAAAGTTCTCGAACCTGGCTGCTAATTTGGACAGTAGGTGGCCTGTAAGAAGACTCGAGCAAGTTGCTGAGGTCATCGTCGATGCCTTGCTGGAGAAGAAAGCTGGGATGACGAGGCAGGAGGCTCGTGATGCAGCTCGGGTTCACATTGGAGATACTGGGCTAATTGATCATGTCTTGAAAGTGATGGACAATGTGGTTGTCGGTAATTTCGTTGTTCGTCGGTCGGTGAATCGATCCACCAAGATTCTGGAATATACCATTCACGATTTGGAGGGCGGAAGAGACGTTTACGAGCCCCGCTCGGATTTCTTTAAAGAAAAGCCGTTTAATCAGGTGATTGCTACTGCTCCTGTTCCTGGGAGATGCGTTTTCGTCGATGTGAACATTTTGTACAAGAACGTGCTTATGGGATATCCGATTCAAGATTCCGAATTTTCTTCGGTGAATCTGGCAGTTCAAACGGTTCTCCACAGCAAGCATTTTGTGAAGGAGTGGCCTTTTCGAGATGAGGATGACGACTCGTTTAGGTTCATTTGTAGACTGACAATGAGTTCGTTCGATGAAAACGATAGTGATCTTTGTTGCGATTTGCTGCATAGAGAGTGTGTGGTGGTGCCGCTGTACGCGACACTTGGCGACCTGCGATTGGCTGTGGAGAATGCAATGAGGGATACTTATTGTGTGATGGAGAATTTGAAGGTGACCGAGATTTTGGAGATGGAAGGGGTTCAAGAAGATGAGGTTCTTTTCGGGGTGATTGAATCGGGGGGTGAGATTCGGGTGAGGGGGGGTGGATTGGATTTGGAGACGGAGTTGAGGTACGAAGGTGGGAACGAGAATTGGACGGTGAGGTGTAGGTGTGGGGCCCACGATGATGACGGGGAGAGAATGGTGGCGTGCGATATTTGTGAGATTTGGCAGCATACTAGGTGTGGTGGGATTGAGGATTCCGATGCTGTGCCGAGGTTGTTTGTTTGTGATGCTTGCTGCACTGCCCTTGCTCCGGCGCAAACGAGGTGTGGGGATGGTTTTAGTGAGGCGGCGGACGGTGGTGGTGGTGGTGCTGTTAGGCTGCCGGATTTTGTGGCCGAGGTTGATATGGGGATGATGTATTAATTGTGAGTAGTGGTGGTGGTTTTTTGGGAGGTTTATGATGTTGATAGCTGAGGCAGTAATTGTTGAGTTTCTTTCTTTCTTTTTTACCATATAGAAGGAAAAAATAGCATGTGAGGAAGTAATTGGAGAGTTGTATATTTTCACAGAAGTATTAGTGTGTGATAAAATTTGTTCTTGTCATCAATAGTTTTGTTTGGCTGAGGATGTAAAAAGTGGAAATTATAGGATGTTTTACCAGATCATTGTTAATATTTCATTTTAATAAATGTCATTTAAGTAATTCCACTCTTCCATTTAAATAGTATTCTGATATGTGTAACTTCAAGACTTAGTTTACTATGTTGCACAAAAATTTCAACTTCTTAATGTATTTGTATTTTTTCGAACACGTTTTGTGTTCGACACCCGTTGACATCTGCCGAATACCTTATGGGTTATTTTGCAAATTCTGATAAGTTAGAAATATGTTTGAATAGCAAATTTTTAAATATTTTTGTTATTTTCCTAATTATTTACATGATTTAGTGATAAATTATAATAATATTTATTTTGAATATTTCTGTATGGAAAAATATAAAATGAATTTATATATAAATAAGAACTTATATATATTAATATAACATATTTATATAGTTTTGATATTAACATATTTCTCCCAAGTTCCTGTATCCCTATTTTTGTGACATGTTGTTTCCCTGTGTCTGATTTCCCGTATTGCCATTTCCGTCGGCGTCTGCGCTACATAGCTCGTCTCTGTTTATTCAAATATTAAAAAATGAGCTCTCAGAACAATTTTTTGGACTTGTATTTTTTTGCTTTTTGATTGGGACTCGAGTTTATTAGCTCATATATTTTGACAAACACATCATGTTCACATGTGGTCCTAACTTATAAAGATGCATACAAAACTTCCTCAAAAGTCAAAAGTGACAACCTTTCACATAATTTCAACAAAAAAACATAAACTATTACAACATTTTCAATCTTTAAAATAATATATTATATTCACAATCAATAAAAAGAATACCACAAAAATTCTTATAATTGAATATATATATTGCTCTCTGTATTTTCTATATTTCTGTACTGCACCCACAAAAATAAAAAAAAAAAGTAAAAAAAAATGAAATTAATTCCTCTCCTAAATTGATACAAAATCAAATTGACCTTTTAACATACTTGAATCCCATGGATGAATCAAAGCAATCTAACTTATCTCTATACAAATTCATTAATTTCAATAAATCAGTCACTTTCTCCTTAGTTCTTTCACCACCACCAATTTGTAGAACAACCAATAGCTTTTGGAAAGCCCCAAGTTGAACCGCCTCAACAAGTGCATTCTCATTTTCTCCCAAACATAGCTTCCAAAGGCTCGTGATCGCGAAATCCGTCGCACTATCCGACACTCGCAAGATCTTTTTCACTAGTAGAGGGATCGTCAGCGCGTTTTCGTACGCGCTTTCTCTCCCTTCTTTCGTACTGCAGATATTGTCGATCACGCCTAAAGCCTTCTCGCACGCGCTTTTATCGCCGTCGACTAGAATTTCGAGAACCATAGGAAGTAGGCCCATTTGGACAAATTTCGATGAGGTTGTGGTACTATTGTAATTTGTAGATGATGACGTCATCAGATGGTGAATCACCACTAGGGTTGCCTTGGTGGCTCTAGGGCAAATAGGGTTTTTCACAATTTGGAGCAAGGTTTCTTCTATGCCCTCGATTCTCGTTAGTGCATCGACACAATCTTGATCCGATAAGACCAATTCTTTCAACACGCAAATCGCGTTTTGCCTCGACGAGAGATCGTTGTCGCTCTTCAGGAACCAAACCATGCAACGTAGAGAAACCTCGGATTTCAACTTGGAAAACCCTAATTCTTGCCCGTGATGTGGGAATAACGTCCACGTCAACGCAGACAAGATTTCTTTCAGAAGATCATTAGCATTTTCGTCGCCCGAAAAACGAGCAAACCACTCGAAAGAATCGGCCAATGCAGAGCCAATCCCATTCCCCACAATGCACCGCTTATTGCGCTCGCTCTCCTTAGCCAAATTCTTGATCTTTATTAGAATTTCTTGGATCTTTCTAGAATCTCCGCACCGTGTGGCGGCCTCGATCCTAGTACAAATCGAAGAAACCTCGTAAGGTGCTATCGGAATACGAGGAGTTGGAATCCTCTCGACCCCACAAGACTTGTTCTCCACGCACCAATCTTGGATCATCTTCCTTATGGAGTGATTTGGGATTTGATCCAAATTCCTCAAGACTTGGTTCGTGACGGGGCATGTTTTAATTACGCTTCCGCCCTCGATCCACTTCTCGATGCTCTCGCGGTCGTAGGTTATTCCAGTCGATAAAGTCACCGGATCTTTCATCAAATCGAGAGATATCGGGCACTTGAAATGAACCGGAATCGTTAGCTCCATACTATCTTGATTGATGATCCCTTTAGAAGTCTCGTCTTTTCCGGCTCCACCACGGCCGCCTATTCTCCGCCTCCACGAGAAAGTCATGATCGGAAAGTATCTAGTAATTAAGTATGTCTTGGAGAGAGATTATTTTTTTATGGGGTTTTCTTTTTTACTTGGTAGAAGTTGTATTGTAGTATGATATTAAAAATCTTGGACTATATATATATATATATATAGATATATGCATGGAATAATATATATATAAATGTGTGTTGTGTGTGTATGTGTGGAATTAGGGGGAAAAGAGAGTTATGGAATGAAGAAGCGTTCAAAATGGTAGGAATGGGGTTTGAAGTTTGAATTGAATATTTGACCGTTGAAAATTGGATAAAAATGGAAGTCCATTTGTTTTGTTGGCTGAGGTTTGACCCGCTGACCGGGTAACGAACCGGTCAGCGTGGGTAGTCGGTGGCCGACTCCACCGTTGGATCTGACCTGGTTGTTGGGAACGGTTGAGATCACACGTTTTCCCGACGCGTTGTGTTTTTATAATCTGTTATATACTATATATCCACGCGCTTTTTATAACTTGGTTTACACGTTTTATGTTATATCAAACGGGGAAAAAGTTTGTGGAACAATATTAAATTATTTACAAGTATTAGTTCCATAAAATAGAATTTTAAAACATAATTCATTATATAAATTATTTAAAAAGTTGTTTGTTGCAATGTGATAATTAACTGGAGTCATTTAAAAATAGGGAAATGTAGAGAAACAAAAAAAATCATGTAGGAAATATAGTCAAGGAAATGCCCTCTCCAAAAAATAATTAGAAAAAACCTCCTAGCTAATATTCCACTCATGTGATATTTTAATAATTCCAAAATTATCCTTAATTGTCAATTATACTCTTTCAAAACTCGAATCTTATTTCTAATTTTTCATTCCGCCGCTTTCACGTTTCTTGCTTTTCTCTCTTCTCTATTTTCTTTCATCTGTTTTTTGTTCTCTGTTTTCTCCGGCAATCTTCTTCCCGTCGCTGCCGCCGTCGTGGCCGGAAGATGGAGAAAGAAAGAAGAGGAAGCACTCGTAGTCGGCGTGTGGAGGAGAAACACTCTTCTTTCTCAACAGTCTGTTCCACCCCGTCGGCATGTCGAGGAAGAAGAAGAGGAACAAGCTGTTGAGAAAGAAAAGGAAGCACTCGTCGTTGGAGGAGAATCAACGGAAATTCTTAATGAAGGTATTTGTTTTCGTGGACATTGAAATGCTAATTTGTGTTTTTTTGTATGAATTATTTATTGTTGTTAAGGATTTGTTGATTTGTGTGGTGCGACGGTGTGGTGACGATGGGGAGGCAGATTTAACGTTTTTTGGTGGATGGGGCGGAGGACGGCGCGTGTAGAGAAATTCGCGAAGACTGGAATCTTAATCGACTATGTCCATGTTCATGAATAGTCGATTAAGCTAATCGACTATGCTTTGGTAGTCGATTAAGGTTGATCGACTCCAATTTTTTTTTTTTTTGATTTTTTATTTATTGATTCCAATTGTATAAATCAATTATAATGTTTATATATATATATATATATATATATATATATATATATATATATATATATATATATATATATATATATATATATTTTGTAATATATAGTTGATTTTGCATTTTTTTTCGCAATTGTGATTTGTTATTTTTAGTAACAGATTCTTAATCGACTATGTTTCACATCATAGTCGATTAATATGCTTCATTAACTCCAATTTTAAAAAAAAAAATTGCATTTTTTGTTTATTCATTCCAACTGTATAAATCAATTATAATGTTTGTATAATATTGATTGTTTTTGTAAAGTATAGTTGAGTTTGCATTTTTGTAATTGTGATTTGTTATTTTTAGTAGCCGGTTCCTTAATCGACTATAGTGTATCATAGTCGATTTAATATGCTTCATAGTCGATTAATATATCTGATAGAGAAAAAAGTTAAAAAACTAAAAAAAAAATAATTTTCTTTTGAATTTAAAAATAAAATAAAATATTAATAGTAATAAAATAATAATTTAAAAAAAAAAAGAAAAAAAAAAAAAGAAAAGACACGGCTAGGTCATGGGCGGATAGTGCTAATGAAGTCGCAAAAAAAGGTCATAATTGAAAAATGAGTTATTAAAATTAGGGGTCATAATTGAAAAATGAGTTATTAAAATTAGGAGTGAGTTTTTCTCAAATGGTGCAAAATAGTTTTGGTCTCTCCCTATTAAAAGAAGTACTGAGAGGGTTATATCAAAGAGCCCCTTACAAATATTATTGAAGAGGAAATCTAATAAGCCATGAAATCGTTTCGAACTCGATTAGTAAAAAAGGGAAATTTGCTAGACACCCCTTATTCTGAACTTATATAGGTGGTGACCCTAGTCATGGTTATTAAAATCATTTGATTTACGATTCAAATCGTACGGTTCGATTCGATTTGAATCCTTCTCGATTTAATTCGTTGAATAAATCGTAAATTTTAAAAAATCGTACGATTTGCAGTCGATTTGTACGATTTACGATTCGATTCGTACGATTTGTACGATTTTCAGAAAATATATATATTTTCAAATTAAAAACTAAAAATTGTGCTAAAATATTAGGTTTTAAGTACAAACACAAGTTAATCAAAAATTCCTTCTTAATCCCACCACAAGTTAAGTTTAACCTAATAATAACAAGTAAAAACAACAATAAAAATTTGATTTTCAGAATAAATTATAAATATATTTTAACAATACAAGAAATAATTTATCTCCAAATAATTGATAATTTACTAGATCAAGAATTCCATTAATCCACCATTAATAAAAATCTAACAAAATAATATTAATAATTAAAATTGTATTTAAGTATAATAATAATTGAAAGAGTGAAAAATTTACCTCAACATGTATCCTGCCGGAATTAATTAAAATTACCTACAACGATTAATATATAAATTAGCAAAATATAAATTAAAAAATAATAATTAACAAAAAAAGGAGACAAGAAAACTTACGGTTGGGAAGAAGAGAGCAAGTGTGAAATGTGAAATGTGAAATGTGTTAAGAGATGAATATATTTATTTTCGGCCCAAATTACAGTCGTTGGATTGAGAAGGATCGAACGGTCCTTAAAAGGCGCGACTTGAATTGACGCGTCTGACAGGTCAAAGCTCGTCATTTAAAACGACGTCTTTTAAGGGTCGTTCGATCTTTTGATCTGTTCCGGACCGTCCAATTGAGAAGACAACATTGGAGAGATGGCCGCTGATCCAAGCCCAACCCAACGGTCCTTATACAGCGTCATTTGAAATGACACTTTATTGTAGTTCAATCCAAAAACACCCCAATTTTCAGAAACAATCGACCGAAATATAGTAGAAAAAAAAATGCCCCCAATTCCTGTTCTTTTTGACATTTTGGTGTTTTTCTCTGACGATAACGAAGGTATCCGTTCACTTAAAGTGGAGATGGTGGAATTATGTGGTAAAGATTATTGTAGAAAATGGTAGTTTTTTTTTTTTTTTTGAATATTCTAATTAGTTTGGTGGTGGACAATTAATAAATGTATACATAATATATATGGGTAAAATAAAGAAAATGGATAAATTAGAAAATATATTTAATTTGATGGTAAATTAAGATAATTTAAAAGTAGAAATAGCATTTTTTTTTTTTTTTATCTATGTTGACCTACCGACACAGTAATATTCACCAATCATAAATCATACGTTGTTTCAAAATTTAAGATTTATTCCACGACTCGAATCCACAAGGGTTCGAATCAAAACAAATCACACGATTTGAATTGTAAAACTTATGATTTTAACAACCATGAATTGCCAACATTTTCAAATGAACCTTTCCATGTAACTAGTGATAATTTTATAATGAGTTTGGGAGTTCCTAAACCTCAAATCCCAAACTTATTGACTTTAAAGTTGGGAATATAATTTTCTTTCCCCAATCACAACAAAGGGCAACAAGATATCTTAGTACTTACTCTAATGTTTGAAGAATATTGAAAACACAATATTATATATGTATATATTTATACACACACACACACACTACAAACAAACAAATTAAATTTCTGAATCTTCAATACTTAAAATAAAAAATAGGCTCCACATCCAATAAAAAATAAAAAAGAAATCCCCAAAAAAAAGGACTAAGGCAAAAATCAAAGACCAACCAATTGAACTAAGTTACACTGAATGGAGGAGATATAAGTGCACAAGAAAGAATATGAACATGTAACAAAAATTAAAATCAGTCACAAAAAAAAAAAAAAGAAAAAAGAAAAAAAAAAAACCACCACATATGAAAAATAATCATTCACACCTTCTTCACCTCCCATCGGCCGAACTGAACGACTCGGCGAAGCCAAACGGCCTAGTGGGTATACTCGTCTGAGTATTATCCAAACTCGGGAGATAAGACGAAGAAGAAGAATCCATGTGGGACCTACCTTCAAACGCCTGCCACTTCTTAAGCGCCTGCGGCAAAGACATCTCAAGGTCAATCCCGTAAATATCGTCCGAGCTCTGGTCAACCGGTTTCCACTGCTCCACGAGCGAGGAGAGCACGTTGACCGCATGGCCCATGTCGGGCCTCTGGTAGGGCTCCCTAGCGGAGCAGTGGCCCGCCAGCTCAGCGACTGTGGTTATGCTTGCTAGGGTTTCTTCGGTTAGGTCTAGGGTCGGGTCTATTGCCTTCCGGAAGGTATCTTTGTTGAGGTGCATTCTTCGGAACCATGTGACGAGGTGCATGCTCTCTTCGGGTTGGCTTTCGTCGAGTGCTTTTCTTCCGGTTATTAATTCCATTAGGATTACTCCGAAACTGAATACGTCGACTTTTGTCGTCACTCGCCCAGTCACTGTTTCAAACGTAAAACAAAATCAGAGGCTCGTACGAAAATGAAAATGTATGTGTAACTCAAAGAATTTCATTTTTTAAGAGTTAATTGCATTTTAGCACCCCTATGTTATATCAAATTGCTAAAACACCTTCCCGTGTAAAAAATATTAGCAAAAACCCCCCTACGATGCATTTTTTTTTTAGCAAACAACCCCCTAAACGATGCCTTTTTAGGGTATAACAAACAACAAAAATAGCTGCAAAACGACAAAATAATTAACCAAAATTACCTGCGTATTCGGGCGCAAGGTACCCAAAAGTGCCAGCTATTCTCGTCTCGATCGAGCCCTTCCCTTCGGGCGCGAGCCTCACAAGACCGAAATCGGCAACCTTAGCTCTCATATCATCGCCTAATAAAATATTCGAAGGCTTAAGATCTCTATGTATAAAACTCTGGTGCGCCAACCCGTGCAAATACTCGACACCCCGAGCAACATCCAACGCCAAAGTCAACCTCGTCTTCCACTCTAAAGGCTTCAACCCTTCTTCCGCCCAATTAAATATATGCTGACTCAGCGTCCCCTGTGGCATATACTCGTACACGAGCAGCTTCTCGTTCCCATCAAGACAGTACCCTAAAAGAGCAACAAGATGCCTGTGTCGAACTTTCGTCAGGACGGCGATCTCGGATTGAAACTCTGCAGTTCCTTTCCCTGCAATTACGCCGCACTCCATTCTCTTCACGGCGATTTTCGTCCCGTCGTGCAGCTCCCCCTTGTACACCGTGCCGAACCCTCCCCGCCCGAGAATATTCTCCTCGCTGAAATTGTTGGTCACGCTTTTCAAGACTTGGATCGATATCACCATGTTTCCAGCTTCGACCATTTGGATGTCGTTCGTTTCGTTGTTGGCTGTGACTGTGTGGGTTTCGCTGACGCCGCCTACCGTGACGCTGGGACCCGCGACGGTGACCTTCACCGCCTCGTTATCCGATCCCGAATGACGTGGATGTATCACCATTGCGTTGGGGCTTTGAACTCTGCTGAATCGGTTCTGTTTCTTTTTGTACACACAAAACGCAGCCACGCCGATTAAAGACAGCACAAACACACCGCCCACTACACAAAACATGATTATCCCGATCCAGTTTCGATTTTTTTTACGATTATTATCCCTTTGCATATCCGAAGCGGGACCCACTGCTGACGTGCCTGTCGAGTCCGAATCGGGTTTATCCTTTCCAATATCAAGATTTCCGTTTGTTTTGACCATTGTATTACTTCTGAAAGAAGGTATTTTTCCGTGGAGATGGTTGTTGGATACATCGAGCTCCATAAGCCCGAGTAAAGAAGTGAGCTCGTTCGGAATAGTGCCGGTGAAATTGTTGTTAGCAAGAACCAATCTTTGAAGCGATTTAAGCGACGCGAAGTCGGGTGAAATGGGGCCCACGAGACCCATATTTTCGAAGTTGACAATTGTTATATTCCCATTGTTGCAAGTGATACCGAACCAATCCGCACAAGGGTCGTTCCCATTCCAATTCTCCGCGAATTTTCTCGGATAATCCATCGATTTTATAATCGAGAGCAATGTATTAACTCTCGGATCACAATCGCCGGGTTGTGGCAAGCAGAAACTATTCGTGTGCTTTGTCATATCGACCGAAACGGATTCGTTGAACTTCGGCATTGGCCCTTGGAATAAGTTGTTAGTCAAGTTAACAACTTTCAAAGACTCCAAATTTGTCAAAGAAACCGGAACGGGCCCCGTGAATGAATTGTCCCTTAAACTCAAACTCTCCAAGTTCTTCAACCCGGAGAAATCGGGCAACGGGCCCGAAAACCCGTTCGAGTGCAACCAAACCTCCTTCAAGAATGTCATATTCTGCAAAACATCGATTCCGCCGCTAAGCTTCTGCCCGTTAACCCACAAAGACTCGATTTGTGACCCGGAAAACGACAACGGAAGCCCGCCCTCTAAATTGTTCAAAGCTAAATGCAAACTAGTGAGGCCCGGAAATTCATCCGGGCCGAAGAAATTCGGGAATGCCCCGGTGACATTCGCCGAATTCGCCGAGAAATTCTGCAGGGTGGAAGCGTTTCGAAGGGATTCGGGTATCGCCCACGCGGAAAACGGGTTGTTATCGAATTCGACGGATTGTAAAGAAGACATGCCGATGAAGAAATCATCGGGAATAAATGTGAAGCGATTGTTACTGAGAATTAGGTACTGTAATGAAGTGAAACCCTTGAGATTCGGTAGTGGGCCCGAGATATTGTTCCATTGGAGCTCTAAGCGCTCGAGCTGGGTGAGTAAAGAGAGTTCGTTGGGGAGTGTACCTTGGAGATTCTGGTGCCCGATTTGGATCTGGGTGACCCGGTTCTCCGAGCAGTGGACCCGGGCCCACTTGCACGGATCCGGGTCGGACCATGAGAGGGCGTCTGGTGGCGGGTTGAGGTTTTTCTTGAGCGCGAACATGGCGGCGGCGTCGGGTGTGGTGGTGGCCTGCGAGCTTGCCGGCGGAAATGGCGGCACTAGTAGTAATAAAAGCAAAACATGAAACGCTGATGGTAAAGATCCGGTTTTTAGCCCTGAACCGGGCTTCATTTTTTTTTTTTTTTGCTTTGTTGAAGCTTAGTGAAACTGAAAATGGTTAAAAGATGAGAAGAAAGGCAGAGTCTTTTTTGCTGGGGATTCTTTTATGAGTTGTAAACAGAAAACAAAAGCAAGAAAACGGAAAAAAGAAGTGATAATTAGAGAGGATAGAGAAAGGAGCTGGCGCACATGCAATGGTGGGACCCACACTACACAGGGGAGCAGATAGTTGTTTTGTGAAGAAAGGAAATTTAAATTTAAATTTAAATTAAGGGTAA